GAACTTAGTGTACAACTGCGTGAACGGCATTGGCGCATCTTTTCACTCTCTGGCACTCTGGAGACGGTACGCGGACGCGGTGTTGTTGGCCAAGAGCCCATACTCAGTCCTCGACTTCCGGCGTTTCAATACAGTAGCCACGTAAGCTTGCAGGCGCCGAGCGGTCATATGTGGGGAACGTTTCGTCTAGAACGTGAGGATGGGTATGCTTTCGACTGCAAGATACCGCCCTTCTCTCTGGAGTCTAAGCCAGATGATGTGAGTACGCCTCCGGTTGGTACACCCACAAACGACGATGTGGATTAATGAATTTTAATAGACAATGGTTATTATTACAACTCAATATTATTTGACCATTCAGGAAGTACATGTGTTTAGGGCAAATAAAAAAATTTATTAGCAATTCCTAATCTAACCCAGCCTCACATTTTTGGTCTCCAGTTGTATTTGAAAGTCAAATGGGCGCCGATTCTCATGCATGTCAAAGAGTGATTGCAATGCATCAATAGCGGCCGTCTCTGTAGCTGTCTGAACATTCTCACCAAATCCCTTGCCCAACAGCTGGCGATCTGCATAAATACCGAYTTGGAAAGCAGCCAGAAGTGTGTTTTTGCCACAGTCACCCAATAAACGGGGCTCCGGTTCACCCAATTTCCGTTGGTTGCAGATTTCGCTTAGCAGCTCCAATGGTTGCTCAGGAGTCCATATATCCAACAAATCCTTTTGATTTAGTTGTGTGCAAATAAAATCACGCACAAACAGAAATGCGCGATCCACACCACTTGAATCCGCTAAGGCACCAATGATAGCCTGTAGTGTTTCGGCAAGCGTCTCGCTGCTTGGTGGATACTCAGCGGAAAAGATAAGTTCTTTGGTGCCTAGATKCATGGATACATGCGCAAGCGTTTCAGTGCTTAACAGGTACGAGGCAATCGCTTTTTGTCCGGCTGGTGGCAACTTGGGTAGTGAATGCTGCAAATAGGCCTCTACGTAAGCCCTAGCTATATGTGCGCCTTTAGCTTTTAGTTGTTCGTTGTCGCTTATTTGCAAATCAGCCTCTGCAATTCCAAGCTTCCGCTGGCGCTCCTGCTCCTGGTTCGCATAGGCTTGTTGTGTGAATGCTGTCTGGAGAATCGGCAACTGAAATTCCTCATTCAATCTCTTGCCAAATGCAAATAGCTCTGAGCGATAGTTCCATTCAACAAATCCAGAGCGCGGCTCTGGTTTTTGTGGACCTTGCTTTTTAACGCGATGCGCAAGCTCACGTAACGTTGGCGAGACCCAGCGTTTGAAGTTTCGCCGTGTTTGAACTGTTGAAAATAGTAATTAATGTATGAACTGAGTTACTTATTTATGACATACCTGTACCGGCAGTATTAATAGGCTTTGTAAGCGCTATTAAACTGAGAACACTGCGTAATAAGGACATCGTTGACTTATAATATTAAAAATATTCAMTCAGTGTTTCGGTACATATGGATAACAGTATTGCCACCCCAAGTTATTTTTGATAAACATTTTTCGATAATTTTTTAATTGCAGCCCTTAATATTGTAAAAAGCTGGTCACCTTAACGACGCCATGTCGCTGTTTGCATGAAAATTTTTATATGTGAGACTTGTGGAAATAAATTAATTRATAAAATATATCTATAATTCGAATAAATCGAGTACAGAGCATTAGTAAACTACAAAGTTAAAAGATGGCGCTGCAGACATATGGTGATAAGCCTGTGGCATTCCAACTGGAAGAGGGTGGCGAATACTATTATGTGGGCTCGGAGGTGGGCAACTATATGCGGCACTTCCGTGGTATCCTTTATAAAAAGTAYCCAGGAATGACACGTATTGTTCTTTCCAATGAGGAAAGAAAGCGTCTCGCCGATTCCGGTCTTAGCTCACACATATTGGCCAGTTCGGTGTCTCTGCTCCGAGCTGTAGAAGTTGATGATATTATGGCCGGCAATGATGAGAAGTGTGTCCAATTTCTCTAATATCAATTTTACTTGTATATAACTAAATAATTTTGATTTTTTAGATATCGTGCAGTTTCTGTAAATACCTCGGATACTCCAGTACCACGGGAGAGCAAATCTAAGAAGCAGCCACAATATGTTCCAACCATGCCCAATTCAAGCCACCTTGACGCAGTGCCTCAGGCAACGCCAATCAATCGCAATCGGGTGCACACTAAAAAGGTACGCACATTTCCYATGTGCTTTGACGACACAGATCCGACAGCGAGTCTGGAAAATGCAGCACAGAAGGAGTGTTTAGTGCCCATACGTTTGGATATGGAATTGGAGGGACAAAAGCTACGTGATACTTTCACATGGAACAAAAACGAGAGCATGATAACACCTGAACAGTTCGCTGAAGTTCTGTGCGATGATCTCGACTTGAATCCCCTGCCATTTGTTCCAGCCATTGCACAGGCCATACGGCAGCAAATCGAAGCGTTCCCTAACGACCCGCCTATACTGGAAGAAAGCTGCGATCAGCGCGTTATAGTTAAATTAAACATTCATGTGGGAAACACATCACTTGTTGATCAGGTCGAATGGGACATGTCGGAGAAGAACAACAATCCCGAAGAGTTCGCCATCAAGCTGTGTGCAGAATTAGGTCTGGGTGGTGAATTCGTTACAGCTATTGCATATAGTATACGGGGTCAATTATCCTGGCATTGTCGCACATATGCCTTTAGTGAGGCCCCATTATCCACCATCGATGTACCGTTCCGAAATCCCAGCGATGCGGATGCATGGGCACCATTCCTAGAGACGCTAACTGATGCCGAAATGGAAAAGAAAATACGTGACCAAGACAGAAATACGCGACGCATGCGACGATTGGCTAATACAACAACAGGCTGGTAATCGAGGGTTCGTTTCAGTAACGCACTTATTTGTGAATGTTTTAAGTGGATAAGCTCCAATAATAGTGATTAYAAATAAATCATATRTAATCAGCGCTGGATACTGAAATTAAGGAAAGTCGCAAGAATTGAATGTATTCAGTTAATTATCTTAAACTAATTTATAATCACTATTAAACATACGTGTGAATTGTTGCATCGTAAAACTGAATTCACCGAATTTAGTCGGCAATATATTTATATATATATAAATAATAAATACATGTCTATTTTAAAGCCAACAATGGCCATTCTGTTCATTCATTTCTTTTTTCTTAAATAATATTAGAATATTTTATTAACTTTCCATTGAGTCGGGTTTGTCCTGATCATGTTCGCCATCGTAAAACTCATTCTTTGCCTCAACCATTTTATCCTCATCCGCCTGTGACATGCGGACATCAGGGTCTGTTTCCTCTTTCATACGCAGCTCCTCGAAATCAACGTCTCGCGGTGTTTGCACCATTTGCACACTTGGCGAGTTCTGACACATTTTCAGGTTTTCATATACATGCTTTACGATCAGCTCCATATATTGTTTAGAATTTGCGTTGTCCTGCCGCGAGTTTACATCCGGATGTAATGTGAAATCTGGCGCAAAGAAATCATAGTACTCCGTTGGAGGCAAATCGTTAGAGATCTCCTGATCGACAAGAAGCGACGTTTCGTGCGTCCAGCAGCGTGCAACGTTTCGTAAAGTGTAACCGCCGCCGCCCACAACTAATGTGGGCACATTTAGCGTTCTGACGAACTTCACGCACTCTCCATGGCCACGAGTACTAAGCGAGAAACATCCGAGACGATCTCCAGCCAATGAATCGGCGCCGCATTGCAGCACAATTGCTGTAGGCCGATAGAATTCCATAATCGCTGAAATTATTGGTTTGAACACTTGAAAATAGCTGTGATCATCGATTCCTTCTTTGAGAGGAACATTAACGCTGTAATAACGACCAGACTCGGCGCCAATCTCATACATATCCCCAGTGCCCGGAAAGAAGTAATTGCCATATTTGTGAAAGGATGCTGTCATCACGCGATCCGTTAAATAGAATGCTTCCTGTACTCCATCGCCATGATGCACATCAATGTCGATGTAGAGAACTCGCGGATTATATTTCAGCAGCTCTAGTATGCCAATTACAATATCGTTGACGTAGCAGAAACCTGAGGCCTCGAATTTCTTGGCATGATGCAGACCACCAGACCAATTGATACATATGTCGCTGTGGTTGTGGTTTAGTTTCTGTGCGCCCTCGAGGGAGGCGCCTGTGTACATGGCGCAAAAGTCAAAAAGTCCATCGAAGACGGGACAGTCCTCACCCACGCTAAAGTGAGCCAAATACTTAGTATAGGCGACGGCTGYAAATATATTAATATATATTRATATGCGATTCCTAATCGTAGGAATTTCACTTACAATTGCATTGAATATTCTGWGGAGTCACCTGCTGGAGGTAGGCGATGTATTCGTCACTATGAAACCGCAGCATATCCTGTGCACTAGCTCTGTAAYGGGTAAAAAATACAAAAAYTAACAATAATAATTAATAGAATARCAATTWCTTACTTGTAWGGTCTGTAGATTTTCATCTTTTTGTGCAAGCCGTAGTTCATGACCAGGCTGTGAGTGACGGCTAAGCGTTGCGGCTTCATKGGATGCCCCGCTCCATAGTGGAAATTCCCCACATCGGCATTGTAAAAGTATGAAACTCGTCTATCACTCATCCTTATATCATCTACAAGCTAATCTCTGTCCAGTGCGACTCCCAATATGGGCAGTATATTGTTCTTTGCATATAGTACAATCAGCAGTACAGCCACGATAAATAAAAGTCGCCGTGTTGTAGTTAGCTCGTTCAAGCCAAATAACATACCGTTGCTCCAAAATCCTTATTATTTATTATGTTTTTAGTTCAGGTAAAGCTGCATTATCAAACTTTTTAAGGTAGCTTGTGGCGAAGTTTCTATTTCACTTCATTATTAACTCGGGATTATTTATAATATTATACTAATATTTATTTAACAACAGTAATACTTTTGTTCACATAGGTTCTGCACTAGTTTTTTCCAATCAGTTTAATTTCGAAAATATTCTTGATTGTTCTTTTTACGCGTGTTTTTTATGTGTTGCTTTTTGATGTTCATTCGCTTGTTAACTTAACATAGTATAAAAATGTTATTAACATGGATACCGATAGCAATCACATATCGATATGTGTTGTCTTATTTATAGGTATCGATTTAAATCGGGACTTGAACACGAATGAAAATCAGCAACATTTTTAAACAAGCATGTAATGCTTAAAAACGTTTATTAAACAACGTAATTTTTTATTTAATCTGATAAATACAACAAAAGAATTAAAAAACAAAAATAAGAGAAAATTCTAATATTATAGCAAACTAACTGTAGATTTAAATTGTTAAAATATCCAATTGGAAATATTTTGCTTAAGTTCTGTTAAATTAAGCAGCTGATTATAAAACGTGTTACTGTGAATGGCACATATTCTTATCTATCGCTTTGATAAGCATAAAAGCGTCCTCTGGAATCTGCGTGTGCAGTAATCAACAATAAATGTCATGGCATAGCAGAATGCGAAAACTGTGTCAAACCGTTGCTAAGGAAGCGCGTAAAAGACAGTGCGCTCCAGAAGTGATAAAAGCAAATCTAATTTGCTTACATTACGAAACCGCAAATTGATTTTATTGCAAGGGGACCTATATATTAGATAGTGTGAAGCTGTGTCAAGCAGTGCATGGTGATACTTAAAATCTAAAGCTTCGTGACCGTTGCCCCCATTTTGTCCAAGATGTTAACCCTCTATTACGTGAGCGCCACTTTGGTGCAGTCCTGGCGTATTCAAAGGGCCTGCAACAAAATTGCTGAGCAATTAGCGCAGTCATCAAGCGTAGCGTTTTATGCACTTCAATCTGGCAGAGACGACGGATTCGGTAAGCGCAATACAATGTTAATTTCATCTCGATTTAATATGGCCCTTTACTAAATTAGATCCTACAATAGCCAGCTCAGAGCTGTGCTGTAATCGGAACGTGGCTAAGGTAACGGATATACTGTGGTTGCATGGCAACCAGCATGGTTGCTGCCTGCGTCCACTGCAATCAGTGCAAATTACGCCATGGATTAGCTTTCCATCAGCCCCCAGTTTGCTACCGTTCGCCTATGCTGCGGACACTGCTACCCCCACAGTAACTCCAACAGAAATCGAACCTCAACCCAGAATAAGTCTGTCCCCGGACACGGCGCAACATCTACAATTGTTGATCGAGGCGAATATTGACTTGCAGCAGCGGGAAGCCAGCACACAAAGCTGTGTACCGGTGCAGGTGAGTCTCTGCGCAGTTACCTACGCAGTTTGTATAATACTTAAAAGTGTTCTAAGCCTGCTGGACTAAGTGCCTATTACTTTGCTTTTGCCAAGAGAGTAGTGTTGCGTGTGCATGCTCAATAAAAATATTGCGTCATTTGAGCTATTTTCACTAGAGTGTATAGATGTGTGTTAATGCAGATGTGGCTTACCAATTCTCTTTTCATGCTTTACGTGATTCAACCTTCTAAAAAAATCGACAGCTGGAAAATTACGGTAAGCTAATTGCATGGAAAATAGATTCCCACCTGGCGGTGCTCATCGAGACGGATATTGAGCACTTCACAAAACTATTGATAATGACATTTTTACAAAATAATTTATACATTAATGATCAGCTGCCACTAATGAGGATTGAGTGTAAGCGCACTAGCTGATTGAATTTTAAACATACAAAGAAGTATTTTAATATTAATTACCGTCAACATTTGCAGCTGTGCAGCGCGAGGGTGAACCACAGCCTTTTCAGYTGCTGGCTAATCATCTGAAGCGCCAATCACGCAAGGCGGTCGAACTCAGTGCGGAGGGCTGGCAAAAGCATCTGGAGGATCTGCGTGCGCTCGGCGTATTGGCTCACCAGGCTACTGAGTTCGAGCAGCAGAAGAACCGCAATGAATTGAAGCCTAGTACTCCCAAGCAGGAGCCCTTGCAGCAGCGACAGGAGCAGTCGCCCGTGGCAGCCCAAGCCAGCCTTAAGGCAGTGGCTATAGTAGAGCCCACCACCAAGACACCGTCTCCTGCCAAGCCAACCCAGCTGAAGCAGCCGACTCCAGTTGAACATCTTCTAAGCAAGCCTAGTGATTTCGAAAAAGGGACTGCCACGACGAAGACTGACAATTCATCAACCAACACCAGGGAAATGGMAAAGTCCCCAGGAGTYGAGGACAATGCAGGCACGCCCGTCGCAAAGGCATCTACTCCGAGCAGAAGTTTTGTGGCTGTGAAACCAAGTTCGCCACCGTCCGAAACTCCATCCGCCACCCGACCACG